TGTGTGTGGGTGTGTGTTAAGAGATTTACACCCACTACCAGACCGTGACAGACAGGGTTTGGATCCATCACAGACCGTGACAAACAGGCTTTGGATCCATCACAGACCGTGACAGAGAAACTGTAGTTCTAAACCATCAGGTAAACGGTTCGCTACAAATGGATTGCAAAGAAATGGAACAAAACGATTTCCATTTAATTAGTAGCAGCAGATCCATCGTGTTTCACATTTTTAATCCCACAAGGGATTGCGCTAACAGCTTTTAATATTATTTAATAATTTATATCACATATTTCTATTGTTTTTAGTTATTAGATTTGCTTTTTTTTAGAGATATGTATAGGTTAATGGGGCGATCTAGACACCATTTTTTGAGTGACCTGATTTTTTTAATCTTTTTACCCCTAAAAATGTTAGTTGACGCAAAAGAAGGAGCAAGAAACTAATAAATATGAAAAAAAAACAACCGAAAGAAACAAGAAAAAGATAATTAAAATAAATATTTTAGGGTGTGGGTGTGGGTTTGGTGTGGGTGGGTGTGTTTAATGTTCTTTTTCTTTCACACTCACATGGTGACATCTACACTCATGCCTCTCTCCCTCGCATCCTTTAACATTATATAGAATGGGTGTAACAAAAGTAATTTACTAGGCCGCTGGCCGACAAAGAATTGTCATTTGATCTGGTGAATGCAAGTGAGCCGTAGGAATTGATTTCGTCCATATCACAATCATTTTCAACCGGTATTCCGATCAGGGCTCCGAATGGGCCGCCATTGGCCGAGAGTGTTTTCAAGTTTTTATTGTCATCAAGTTAATTCTATTTTGAGTTTATAATATAATATCTTAGTACATTTACTTTCTAACGAAAGTGTTAAACACGTAAAAAAACAGTTTTGGACACCAACGAATACTATTTGTATTTCACGACAGATGTCATCGAAGGCAAAAAATATGCTCCCATTGACATCGGAATTATGTTGAGTTAGGAATGGTTTATATTTCATACATATTGCTTTTTAACGGGAAACTACTCCATTTACTTATCATCTAAAACATGAACACAATTGATTCATTTACATAATCAACCGACAGCTTTCCGTTTATTACTTTTCTCTAGCTAATCATCAATGTCTCCATCATTAAATTAGAAAGAAAAATAATTCGTTAAATCAAATTTTGATGTATTTTTATTTTGATCTAAATTCAGAGAAACTATTGCAATATTCTTAAATCGCTGAAGTCTTGTAAACGATTTTATTCATTGAAATATGTTCAAATTTTTTGCTTCGTTACTCATTGTTATAGGTTATGGATATTTAGTTATTTGGATCATTTACAATTATTGTTTTTTCAACTATAATTTGCAATACATTATTCCAACCTTAAACGAATTTCAAATGCGCTTGCCACAATTACACGACATTGATAATGTGGTCTGTTTCGCATATCATTTCGATCTTGACATTTATCAGACCTATCAGTAGAAAAACCAACAGTACTTCAATTTCGATATTATTTATTGCTGAACATATTTTTCTAAACTTTAAAACATGCTTCACAATATGAAAATGATGATTCTACCCAACTTAAACAAATCTAATATTGATACAATATTTGTTCATTTCAATATTAGTGATTAGTAACGAAATCCTTAGAATAGATGAATAGCAACAAAGAATTAATGATCCAACTGGCACATCCTTGAGAATGCGTGTGGATCTTTGATCCATTGGAATTCACACTCATACTCTCTCGTAAATGTCTATTACATACATTATTGATTTGACTGGTAACTGTGAATGGATAGTACGATATCTTTCGTAAATGAGTCAAAAACAGGATTAGCTTTAGCTAGTATTTGAGGGTGTGGGTGTGGATGGTGGAATAAATATCTATATTCACACTCACATCCACAGCTACGTCTCTGTTAAATCGAGTTGCACATTCAAGGTAACCGGACTCTTATCATCTCGGTAAATATTGACTTCACTGTCGAATAAATTGAGTGAGTGAAATAAGAACACTGCTGTTTTTTATATTACAGACAGAATTCGATAGCTTTTTTATATACCATATATCGTGCAACTTCGTCAACGTGTAAGACATACAATGTTTTTTTTGTTCGTTGTGTCCATGTTAAAATTCGAAAATTCAACCAATCTGAGAAGAATGCCAAACGAGTACTAAAAATGAATCATCACATAACATAGTTGTAATAGAACCAAAACCATCTTTGCCAGCTGAGCCCGATGCATCAGACATAACGAACTTCTTGTGTCAAATATGTATAAATTCATCGAATAGTTTTCGCTGAATTAATTTGAAAGGTCTACCCTTGTTATGAGTAGACCGACGCGTGAATGAATCAGCAAGTAATTTAGAGGGCTTACAGCAACTACATTTTTTTAATTGAGCGTGCCGATATGGGTGCGGATGAGTGTATATGGTTGTAGATGAAAGGAGACTAACAACTGTACATCCACATCTCACCAACACTCAAACCCACACATCTTCAATACGCAAAGAAAAATACTTTTTCTTTCCTTCACTTGGTTCTTCATCTCCGATGTTTTAATTTTACCTTGCATTTATCTTACCTTTTTCGTGTTTTTATCGATATTCATCTGCAGCTTTTTGTTCTATATGTTCTATTTTGATTCATTGTTACAGAGAGGCGAAGCAAATTTGTTTTGATTTTTATAGCACACTTTATTTCAGTATAAATAATTTGCAACTGACCTTCGTTAATGACAAAAAAAATCTGCTGAGTTTTTATTTGAAATAGGATCTTTTTTTTTACATTTAAACAGTTAGCATTTCATATTTAGTCCTACAAATGTCTAAATATTGCAGTAAAAATTTTACTTACAGGATTTTTTTTTAGAAAAGACGTTCAAATTCTCATCACCGCAAATTCAATGCGTAGTCCAATAGGTATTGATTTGGGTACAGTCTATTCATGTGTCGCTGTATTTCAACATGGAAGAGTTGAAATCATTTCTAATGATCAAGGAAATCGTATAACACCATCTTATGTAGCGTTCAATGATAAGGAAGTTATAATTGGTGATGCAGCTAAAAATCAAGTGGCTAGGAATCCAACTAATACAGTCTTTGATGTTAAACGTCTTATTGGACGTAAATATAATGATCCAACAGTTCAAGCTGATATGAAACATTGGCCATTTCAAGTAATTAGTGAAAGTGGAAGACCTAAAATTCAGGTTGAATATAAAAAAAAAAAAAAATTATTTGCACCTGAAGAAATTTCTTCAATGATATTAACAAAAATGAAAGAAATAGCTGAAACTTATCTTGGTGAAAAAGTAACCGAAGCTGTTATAACTGTTCCGTCGCATTTTAATTATTCTCAACGTCTAGCAATAGAAGATGCTGGTGTTCTTGCTGGTCTTAATGTTTTACGCATTGTTAATGCATCATCAGCAACTGCTATTGCTTATGCATTCGATAAAAAAGTATCAGCTCAACGAAATGTTCTAATTTTTGATTTGGGTGGTGGTACCTGTGATGTATCAATTTTAACAATTGAAGAAGGAATTCTTGATGTTAAATCAACAGCTGGTAAGGCGAAGCTTCGTTTTTGTTTTAACTTTTCGAGAACAATTTAGGTGATGCGCATGTGGGCGGTGAAGATTTTGACAATCGAATGGTTGCACATTTTATGCAAGAGTTTAAACATAGACATGTTAAAGATCTACAGGAAAATGAACGTGCTGTTCGACGATTACGTACTGCATGTGAACAGGCTAAAGTATAAGACTGTTTTTTATTTGTATCGTTTTGTACCGAATTCTTCTTCATAGCATACATTATCATCAGCATCACAAGCAGGAATCGAGCTCGATTCATTACACGAAAGCATCGATTTTTATTCAACAATAACTCGTGCACGTTTCGAAGAACTTAATGCTGATTTATTCCGTTCAACACTTGTACCTGTTGACAAAGCGTTACGTGATGCTAAAATGGATAAATTCCAAATCCATGAAATTGTTCTTGTCGGAGGTTCAACACGTATTCCAAAAGTGCAAAAACTTTTACAAGATTTCTTTGGTGGTAGAGAAATAATTAAATCAATTAATCCAGATGAAGCTGTTGCATATGGTGCTGCAATTCAAGCTGCTATATTAACAGGTGATAAATCTGAAGATGTCAAAAATTTCCTTTTACTTGATGTAGCACCGCTTTCATTGGTAAGTTAATTCAAAAAACAAAGATCAATAATTGTCAAGCAAATTTTTCTTTTAAAGGGTATCGAAACTGCTGGTGGTGTTATGACAACCTTAATTAAACGTAATACAACGATTCCAACAAAACAAACCCAGAGATTTACAACCTATTCGAATAATCAACCAGGTGTTTTTATTAAAGTTTATGAAGGTGAACGTGTAATGGCAAAAGATAATCAGTTATTAGGAACGTTTGCATTAATGGGTATTTCACCAGCACCACGTAGTATACCAGAAATTGAAATTACATTCGATATTGATGGAAATAGTATAATAAATGTTTCAGCTATTGATAAAGGTTCTAGAAATGAAAATAAAATTACAATTACAAATGCTACAGAATGTTTGTCAAAAGATGAACTTGACCTACCTCTGATGTGTTATGATACAAAATATGAAGAAGAAATAAATGAAATCCCAGGTACATATGTTACTGCGAAAAATTCATTGAAATCTTATTGTTTGAAAATGGAAAAACAAATAAATGATAAAACATTAACAGATAAAATAAGTGATGAGGAGAAGAAGAAAATGCTCAATGCTATTGAAGATGTATTGAAATGGTTGGAGACAAATCAAGTAAAAAATATTTGACTTGTTGTACCTATAATTAGCCTCTTTATTATTTTAGGTTGCTGAAAAAAATCAGTTTGAACTTAAGTTAAAAGAACTAAAACAAATATGTTCACCAATCATGAAGAAACTATATCCGAAGGAGAAGAGTACCGGAAAAATGTCTCAAGGATTTATCGGTGATAAAATAGGTCTGATTGTGTTCTAAGCTTTTCATAGTTATTCAAAATTTTTTCATGATACGCAGCAACAAAAAATATATATGTCAAAAATTCTGCAACTCTCATAGTAGAGAGATCTCAGCCAGTAGCAGTAAAGTTCGGATAGACTCAGCAATCTAAGTGTAATAATTAATGTTGTACAGCGTTTTTTTTTCTGTTACCAAGAAACAATGAAAAAGGAGTTTGATGCCTGCTTTCCTCGATTCGTAGGGAAGAATTAGTATATAATGACCTTTGCTTATAGCTATTGATGTGAACAGAGGAAAGACTCAGCGGACAGTTAGGCAACAAAATCGATTTCTAAGATCTGCTTCAAAGCTTTAGGTGACATTAAAGCTGCTTTTGTTCAGTGTTTAACTACACCTTAGATTCTGATTGCTAGAGGCTAACTGGCTATTGCAACTACCACAAAGTAGGGAAAACAGATAAATATCACTGATAGAACTCTGCATGTAAAACGTATTTTAAATTGAAGATTTAATTATGTTCATTAGATGACATACAGTTACTGAGCGTTACATGTTTACCATGTATTACAGGTTTTTTAGAATTTCTGAAGTTTGTTTTTCTACAACAAGCTGAAAGATCCACTTATAATATACTGAAAAATAACGAACAAGGAATAATTCAATTTTTTTTCTGGATTTTACAGAGACTTTTAATTGAATTGCAATTTTCTTTCGAAGGCATGTCCTTATCCACCTTAAATAGATGCGCATTCAAGTCTTTATTGAGATATGGCGTTTCCAAAATAATCTTCGATGTGCACCCATTCGGAGCGACTTTTTTTGCTAAACACGTATATTTTAATTCGATTACTTTCCCATTAAACAATATAGGCTCAGATACAAGAATTTTTAAATATTTACATTTTTTTTTTGGTTCTAAGCATAACTATAGATACTTTTCAACTTTTGAAGTTCTCATAAAAAATCTGGGTAACAAGCGTGAAAACTTCTCGAGGTGCAAAAATTGTTTTTGTTCTTCTGATATTCAGTTTTTACTTAATTTTTCAACACAACTCTATAGCCTCCCTACACTCACATTGGAAGAAGTGACTTTTGCGTTTTGACTTGAAATTTTGCACAATTAATACTCTCAATGAACACAGTTCATTCTGAAACTTTCAGCTTCTTTCATTTCTTCTGTCATGAAATACAAAGACAAGGGCACGATTTACATTTTTTACACATCTGAATGTCCAATATGAGTATCTTAAAACAGAAGCAACAGAACAGGTTGAACCTTTCAGAATGAAGTAGTTTCATTGAGATAACCAATTGCACAATTTTTCAAGTCTAATATGAAAGGTCACCTTTCAACGTGATTTGAGTCATACATACTACGGAGTTTTGCTGAAAAATTCAGTGAAAAATCTATTGTACAGAAATCTGATAACTAAAAGAAGCTAGATAAGCATAGATAGTCAACATCAAGTTCCACGCAGCATTGCAAGAAATATGAAACAATTAGTTACAGTAATTGTAAAAATTGCTTCTAGCTTTTTTTTGACACGCATTTTCGAGCGTAGGGGGGATAAGTCAAATAATTTACACTTAAATATTATGCTTAGGTTTTTCTTGAAAAATATATTTGAGGTTCATAAAATCTTTACTTTTTAACAAGTTTATCATTTACTGTTTTAGATACTAGTCCTTTCTATAATGCATGTCGAAATAATAATATTGATTTGGTTAAAAAATATTTACAAAAAATGTCATTAGATGAAATTAATAAATTAGAACCAAATGACTCTACTGCACTTCATGTCGCTGCATACCTAGGACATGAAGAAATAGTTGAACTACTACTGCAAAAAGGTGCTTGTTATACAACAGTAAATAGATATAATTGTACTCCATTGGATGAAGCTAAAACTGATAAAATAAAGCAGATGATCCGTCGTCGTATGAATAAAACTCGTTTTATTAGTGAATCGATTGAATGGGTTCTTCAGACAGACAAGGCAGATTTTCAAGCACATCAATATTGGAAAAAATTGGAAACATATGGACAAGATCTACAATTTCATGTATTGATTGACTATATAAAAAGAAACTATCTTGAAAAAGATTTACAAAATATTGAAGATATTGATACAGTTATAAGATATTTTAATATTGCGATCAACGAAAGAGATCCTGTTTATTTATTACAAGCCTATACAGCTGAAACTGGTTTCTATTCTACACTTAATGTTCATCTAACCCAATTACATCTAGAAAATTTAACTGATAATGAACATCTTAGTCTAGCATATTATATTGGAATAATTGCTCGTCATCCAAAACTCGAAACATTTTCGTATATCGGAGAAGCATATCGTGGTATGATGATCACTAATAATGATTTAAAACAATACGAAATAGGTACACGAATTTTAACTAAAACATTTTCATCTTCATCAAAACGATTGGATATAGCATTAGGATTTCTTGATGATAAGTGCCATACAGATGATCGATTAAGTACAATATGTACGTATGAAATACGTAATCAAAGAACTGCATTATGTATTCAACATATATCATTATTTCAATATGAAGAAGAAGTTTTGATTTTACCTTATTCAGCATTTAAAATAACTGGTATTCAAATAAATAAAGACAAATCACCTAACGTTGAAATAAAACTAAAAGAATGTGAACTATGGTAAATGTTCACAATGGTTAAAACTAAGATTTTACGATGATTGATATCCTTATTATTATATAATAAATAAAAGAAATAAAAATAGAGAAGGGTGTGGGTGTGGGTGTCCTTCATCTCTAGATTCATACCCACCCACACCCCACACTCTCACGAGATATTGCATTGAAAATAAATGATTCTTTTCAAGATTATAAAATAAACGAAGCATTTGATAATATTGAATTACTCTATGAGTATAAAGTTGAGCTAGAAAATCTTTTCAACATTGAACAATCATGTTCATACTTACGCTTAAAAGGGACAGAAATCTTTCAAGAAATATATCTTTGTTGTATGAAATATTTTCTTAATAATAATGTAAATGCATTAATTGATGAGATGACAGAAGTAATAGAAAGAAATGCTTTTTGTTTAATAGAATTTATGAAATTTCGAGATAAATTTCAAAATCAAACTATTTTAAAATATATGTTTCCAGATGATTTCAATGAAAAACTTGTACTGTTAAGTGAAACTATCATAGATTTTTTCAATAATTGTCAACGAAAATATGAAAAAGCTATGAAAGAAACAGATTTTATATCTCTTAAAGATGTTTTAGATATTATGCATAAATTGAATTGTTCATTAACAAAAATAAAAAATAGTAATGATGATTTATCATATAAAACGGATACTTTAGTAATTCCTATTCTTACATGCATAAAAAATTTAACATCTTATTCGAGTATGTTAAAGAATCAATACTGAAAAATATTCAAGAAACAAGAAATGCATTTATTCATAGTCAACTTTTATATGAAAATATATATGAAACACGGACATATCGAAATGACCGTTGTAAAAAATTCAATGAAAAATTTTTAATTTTCAATAAAGCTAAAGTATTAAATAATTCTCATTTAAATATTGATTTAAATAAAATTGAACAAGAATGTTCATTATCATTCCAAAAGCAAATTCGAGATATTATTTCTTATGTTGAAACTATTTTAAATCGTTTTTCAATAGATAATGATTACATTGAACTTGATCGATGTTATCTTAATTTGATATCATTTCGACAAGAAATGGCAGCAGTAAAATGTGAAGTAAACGAAACAATAGATAAAATTGAAAAAATTATTTTTGAAAAAATTAAAATGTGGATACATTCAGCTAGAGGACATTTAACACGTGAAAATCTTGCTTCAATATTAATAAATATGAAACGTCTATCGCTTCATATGTCTTCATTTAAGAGTAAAATTGATCAACAAATAGATGAATTACTTAATTATTATGAAAGTAAAATGGGTCGTACTATGTTTATTATTAGAGAGTTAATTAGACTTTTAATACAAGATACAAGTGGTATAGATCCAAGGAAGGATATTATTCAAGAGTTATATAGACTTTTAGAAAACTATCCAACTAACATAGGTCTAATTATCATTTTTCAGCATCCATATTTTTCGCTTCTTTTTAAAATAAAAAAATTTCCAAGAAATAGCATTGAATATGTGTTAACTCACATACAAGGAGATTTTATAGATACAAGACAACTAGAAAAACGATATAATGAATTTAATGAAATCTATCATGACTTAATTCAACAAAATCTAAAGCCTAATATGAAATTAGATCAATTAATAACAAGTATTAAACTAATAACAAGAAACATAAAACAGGAATCAAATAAGATAGAATGGAATGCATATGTAAGAAGTAAAGTTCCAAAATTAGTAGCATATACTTTTGCTTTATGGACATTGAAAAAGGCCGAACATTCTCGTGAAGCTGAAGATTCAGATAATCGAAATAATTATCTTTTTCAGCCTTATGTAGCTCAAGTGATTTCTATATTTCGTATGTTCGGTATAGGTTATATGAATATGAATGAAGAATTAAAAAATAATTTAGTAGATATAGGTCCTAGTGAAGGAAAATCAATTGTATTGGGAATCACAGCTTGTATATTAGCACTTTTTGGTTTTGATGTACATTGTGCATGTTATACTCAATATTTAAGTCAAAGAAATTATCAAACATTTGTACCATTATTTGATTCATTAGGCTTGTTAAGTAATATACATTATAGTACGTTAAATAAACTTTGTGAAAATCTAATTAATGATAATGGTGATATTTGTCAATTAGTTGAACAAATAATTTCTACAGATTCTAATATTCGAATAGAAAATAATCAAAATATAAAACGTGCTAAAATATTATTAATTGATGAAGTTGATATTTTTTTTAGTGAAAATTTTTATAGTAATATTTATACACCAACAATTAAATTACGAGATCCTATTATAAAATCATTAATTTATTTTATTTGGAAAGAAAGAAATTCAAATTTAAATCTTAATCAATTAAAAACTACATATGAATATAATGAATGTTATAAGAAATATCCTAATTGGATATTATTATTTGACGAAATAATAAAAGATATACTTGTTGATATTAAACATTTTGAATCACATAGTTATATCGTTAATCAGAATAAAATTGAATATATACAATTGGATAATATTGTCTATGATTATAAAACTCTTTTTACTTATTTTTATGAATATGAAAAAGGAAATATTACCAAACAAAGTTTAGAAGAAAATATATACATAAAAATTAAGTGTGGGAATTTTTCATATGTTGAAATACCATTTGAATTTCAATATATTATAGGTGTTACAAGTACATTAAAAATTTTAAATAATTTTGAAAGAGAAATAATACAAAATTTATATAAGATTAGATACATTACATTTATCCCATCTGTATTCGTTAATAATCTTAAATTTTTAATAAAAGATGATATTTGGATTGAAAATGAAAATGATTATTTTATTGTAATAAAACAAGAAATTGAAAAGATAACAGCATTAGAAAAACGTGCTGTTCTTGTATTTTTTGAATCAAAACTAAAATTAAAAGAATTCTATAATTCAACAGTATTAGATTCATTAAAACAATCAGTTATTTATATAACTGAAGAAATGTCATTTGTCGAACAAGAGATTCTAATTAAACGACCAATTGTATCAGGTCAAATAATATTATTGACAAAAACTTTTGGTAGAGGAACAGATTTTATATGTTATGATGAAATGCTCACTGAAAATGGTGGTATTCATGTTATTCAAACTTTTATTTCAGAAGATATATTAGAAGAAATACAAATACAAGGTAGAACAGCAAGACAAGGTAATCATGGATCTTATAGTATAATACTACGCATTCGTGATCTTGAAAAATTTCATATAAAAAATATTGATATTGAAAATTTTAAAAATGCTAAAGAGATTCTTTCTCAAATTTCTGATATGGTTAGAATTTCAAAAACTTATCATACTATATATGAATTTCTTTATGAAAGACGCAATAATTTATTGAAAATAAAGTATGACATAAACAAAGAATATATTTATTATGCAAAAGAAAAACATTACATTGCTAAAAAATTTTTATCGAATCTTATTTCTGGCAATATCGATTTTGTTAAAGACTTTTTATTTCATGAGAATAAAGGAGTAGAAGGTTCATATGTCTCAAGAACCATATGTCTTATAGATGCATCGAGTTCAATGTATTGTTTATTACATAAGTGTAAAAAGACAGTGGACATTATGTTAGAACGAATTTCAGAAATTTTGAAATGTTTTAATCTTACATCAGATTTATTTCAAATTCAATTTGTTGTATATCAAAATTATAATCATAAAGAAGATGAAATTCTGAAAATTTCTCCTTGGGAAACTAAATCAGATAATCTACGTGTTTTTATGAATAGTATTGAAATTGACAAAGATGGAGGTAATAAAGCTATTGAAATTGGTTTATGTCATGCAAATCAAGAAAATATCACACAAGTTATTTTGATAGGTAATACTTCTCCAAATACGCAGAAGGATGTTTATGAGAAAAGAAATTACTATACGGAAAACTACTGGAAACATACTAAATTTGCACGACCGACCTATTATCAACAGGAGTTAGAAAAATTAAGAGCATATAAAATTCCAGTACAGACTTTTTTTGTTGAACAACAAGTTGAAGAAGTTTTTAAAGAGATCGCTCAAAAAACAGGTGGACGTTATGAAATGTTCGACATAAATTCCTCATCAAGTTTACATATGTTAACAGATCTAATAGCTCAAGAAATTTTAAGAAACGTTGGAGGATCTTCAAAAGGAGATGCTTTAGTTGAAGCATACCGGAGCAAATATAACAGAAATTATACATAGAAAAAATTCACTTTTGACAGAAATATTTTATTTTTAACTTCTTATCTGCATGGTTTAGTTTCTCATATACTATATCAATTATTCATGTTATTTTTTTAATTTTTTTTGTATATAATTTTTTCATATTATTTTAACTTTTCTTTTTAACTTCTTAGTTGATGAGATGAAGAGTTCTATGTATTTGTGTTTATGCTTCCGATATATTTTCGTTTATATGTAATCATATTTCATTTTAATCTGGAGTAAATAAAAAAAATTAACTTGATACAAACTCTTTTTTTTTAAGTATGGGGATGGAAGTAAAAAAGCAAGAAATCACAATACTGTTGATGATTTGAATCGAAAAATTAAAATTATTTTCGTATATTTATCTTGAATGAATTTACTAAGGATTTCGAAATTAAAATAATCTTTAAATAAATCTAGAATATTCAATTTAAAATATGTTTGTAACCATTGATTCAATAAATTGAGTGATAATAGATCGAAATAGAATATCATACAATATTTTTCAAATGCTATTATTCATAATTACGTGTAACAATCAGATCAAGTCGAAGTTTTTGACTTGAATGATATGAAGTTAAGTTTATTATTTACTGACCGTCTCTGATTAGAATTGATATTCTAGTTTGAAAACATTTTCATAAACTTTAAACTTTAACAATTAATTCTACAATAAAAAATTTTTCTTGAGTTTTACGATTTTAGATGAATCTTTTCCTAAACATAATAATAAACGTATTAATTTAGTGTGCCCTATCGCTAAATGATGGTGATGTATATTAATAATAACAATTTCTTTTTTATGAATTCTAGTTTCACATTTAATAGAAATGATTCATCATACATGCAACAGAAATAGAGCTGACTATTTATGAAATTCAAATTGATATGATTTAGTAGACGAAGATAATATACAAATATTTTTCATCAACAGTAATAATGGAGCAGTCATCCTATTCCGCAAAGTTACACATTCCTGCACGTTCCTGCACATTCCTGCACATTCCTGCATACGTACATCTATTCATATTCTACTTAACACTGCGATAGAAACAAAGAACCAATTCGGTTTTAGAATTCCGGAATTGCATCTATAT